AAATTCATTACTACTTTTAGCAAATTGTTTTATCTCTAGTTTCACTAGAACGCAAAGACTTCCTTATGAAACACAAATTTTCCTCAAACAAGCTAGGATATCACGTGAAGATGAAGTTATAAACTGGAACCTATGCTGTTTTATATCCGGTGAATAAAAAAAAAAAAAGCCTCCTTTCCTAGGTATCATAACTTATTGAGTACACAAACAATTTCTGTTTTATGAGACTTACTGACCTGATGAGGTTGGAGAGTAGCTTGGAGTGAAATTTTCATTAGTTGCTGCAACAAAGCAAGTATAGCATAAATTTATTATTCTAGAAACAGTTTTGCATTTTGAAATTCTTCATTCAATAGGGGGAACACTTCAAACAATTAAGATTTCTTTATTTGAATGACCTGTGGAACCATTAGTAATTTCCTACTTTTCTTTTGGTGTCTGTCCTGCACTTCTCCAAGATTGTCTTCTCCATCAGTTTACACAGGAATCCAGCTTCATATCATCCCTTTTCTCCCCTCTCTCTCTCTCCACATAAGCATCTCAATCCTTCTTTATTATCCCCTCCTTGGGATTTTATACAGAAAGCTTCTTTATCTAGGGATAATCCATACCTACAACAAGCTAGCCATATAACTAACTATCTCAGATGATATTATTCAGATCACAGGTCTTTTTGTTGCACCTGTATCATATAAAACAATATTTAAATCAATTAATGAGTTGAAATTAACACAGGTTCTGACAATAATTTGTAGAAAAAGGAGTTGCTTTCCATTTCTCTGGAAACTGTGATCATGTAGGCACTAGTTTACTTATTTACAAAATGGAAAGTAGCCATTTCTTTGCAGATTGTGTTATTTTGAAACAAAAGGCTATGAAGGCTCATGGTTACTATTAATTGAATGCTCAGTTCCAGATACTGATTTTTTTCTCCAAAACTTTTTGAAATACACAGCTGAGAACCTTTTAACTAGGAGATTTTTTTTAATGGCTCCCAGAAAGAAAAGTCTGACTACTTCAAAGTCCACAATTTGAGATAGTAACCTTTTAAAAAGCCCACCATAATCATCTTCTACAGTATTTCTGGGATATAATGAGCAATCAGTTCCCACAGCGATATGCAGTTAGTTATTTAGAAGAACAACTTATGGATGGTGAAAGTAGTCAAGAGAAATAAAGATGTCAAGACTCTGAATTTAGCCTTTGAATATCTAAAGTACTTAACAAGAAATGTGCCATTAGAATAAAGTAAGAAACATTACGCACCAGATGTCCCACTCCTCTTACAATCAGTAGCTACTTAATACTATCTCCAGTAGGTCTTAAAATGTCAGCTAATCAGCTCCCATTTCAAGGGATTCAAATCACTTTTTATCCTCTTCCTCAGTGAGGGCCTGTTCTGAAGATCATTGAAATCAAAGGAAAGATTTTCTTTGGATCAGGCCCTGATCTGTTTCTCTTTGCTCACATCCACTGTCACCTTGATATTTTTATGGAACTTAAACTGACATCATCTGTTTCATTGTCTAGTCACCAGAGACTCTCCTCTCTGTTTAAATCCATTTCCAGTATCAGAGAAGACCTAAACCCTGTTTCCTTTCCCATTAGCTGATAACCCACTTTAAAGCTGCCCTTCTTCCCTACATCTGCACCCCACAAATGAAATAAAGCACTTTGGTTACTCTAAACAAGAGCCTATCAGTATCCTTGGGTAGGTTGTTCCATAAATACCTAGGAAGTCACTTTGTTAGGACTCAATCCTATCACCAATAAGGGCACTGAATGATAAAATGGTGACTACTGTGAAAAACATAAATTAACTGGATGGCATTTCATTACTATTTATAGGCTGTGATGTAGGAGCTAGTTAAACAGGAGTAGATCTATAGTCCTGCAGTGATCCCATGGCTAACTGGAGATCAAAGTTTGTAATCATATAACTCTGCTTTTCCAGATTTTAAAGATAGCAATTGTTTTTGAGCAATACCTGTGATTGTTATGCTCTTCACATCAATGTTAACTGTATGCAAAAAGCTGGCTTTCTTTGCTTCAACACCTGAAACCATTTCATTAGTTATTTTCTCATTAGACACCCACTGTGTGAAGGCAAGGGTGAATATCACAACAACACTGCCATTTCTGCCAAATACAAGAAATAATGAACAAAAGACATTTGTTACCAAATATACCTAGCAAATAAAATATTGGACATATCACCTAGAAAGAATCTCATTCTAATAGGTTCCATTTTTAAATACAAACCATTGTGATATAATGGATGGCCAATTTGAAACACCTTAAAAGGCCTGATTTTCATGAGTTACTGAACAAGGCAGGAACTCAATTCTTCTTTTACCCACATAAGTACAAAGTCACTCTATTGATATTATAGGCATCCATGGAGTCCCTCTGGTGTGAAAGAGGAGAAGCAGCAGGACTTTGCATTTCTGTACCAAGTTGAACTGGATTTGGGTCTGGTGATTTGAACATTACAATAAGAGATATCATCGACATGCCCATATTGTAAAAGGCATTATATATTATTATAAAGTACACATTTTTAGGATCCAAAGCTTAATCACACCACAGGTGGACTCCACGACCACTCAGATTTTGTTTGATTTCTTGGATGCCAACCAGGAAACAGTAAGCTTCCATTAAGAGCAAAAACTCCATCAGCCTCCATGGGTCAAGGATTTGATCTTAAACACTACCCATCCCTCACCTGTTAAAGGATTCTATATTTGTGGAAAGATTTTGATTAAGTTAATATGTCAATACATTGTTTTGCTTACTGAAGACTGGAAGATTTTCTCCCTCTGCTGAAAAAATAGCAGTGACCATCTTTGTTTCAAAGCATTTATGGCAGCAGGTTGCCACAGATTCAACAACACACTTCAATAGGCAGTGATTAATCCTATCACTGCATTAAGAACAGTTTGCAATGTATTGAAAAAAACCCCTCTTTTCTTTAATTTCTTAAATGTTCCGATAACCTCTAGGCTGTGCTGAGCAAACAAAAGCTATTATTGCTATCTTTGTGACTTAGCTGAGTTCCAAGGGTGAAATAATAACCAGATTGCCCAAAAGGGTAAACACTTTTTAATGAAAAGAGTCAAGCAGAAAATGATTTCTGAGCCAAAGTAGTATTTTTTAAGTATTTTCAGAATGGAAAGAAAGAGAGCGCCTTTACAAAACACTGGGAGCGTGATCCAAAGTCTGCTGAGGTTAGCATAAATATTTCCTGGTCTGGGAGCACTGCAGTGTCCGAATATTCAACAGAACTTCACAAAAACCATATACCTGTTCTGCAACATACTCCTCCCTATTTTCTTTCCTCCAGTTTTTCACTGCAATACTGAATTTTTTTGGACACAATTAGTAGATAACCTCATCTCTTTGGACAAGGGAAGCAGCATCAATGTGTTCTGAAAGGTGCCATCAGAAAAGAATACAATTACACTGCTTTTCACTGAGTGAAGATAAAGGGGAGAGAACTGAAGAGTTCCCAAGGACTTCCTGATACATAGAATCCTTGATATTACTGCTCTAGTGATGACTTTTAACTAAAAATATTAATTATGTTATACTCACTTGAACTGCAAAACTTCAGAACCCTTAAATTCATTTTTCAACTGACTTGCTTGAAAGACTTCATTTATCTATAGAAAAAAAAATCTGAGAAAGTGCATTTGGATATTCCTCAGTAATGTACATGGCAATTTACAGTTTTAACAGTGCACAATTTTTCCTTCTCAATTTTTTTCTTCACAACTTGATCAATTTACAGATTAAAATATTTTGAATTCTGCCTGCCTGGGCTGAGAAACAGAAATATCAGTTACAAAGAGGAAGGCAAAAAGGCACCAACCACAGATTACTTTAGGAAATTAATGCATTTAAGATCATGCTATCTATTATGCTCTCCTGAATTAACCATAGACTTTTTACATGATTCTTAAAATCCACAAACAAGGGAACTCTGACAGACCTATCATATCCAACCATGGGACCCTAACTGAAGAAATATCAGGTTTCATCAAATCACTCCTAAAACCTTTTGTCACCCAAAGAGCAGGTTTTGTCCAAGACACAGACTTTCTACAAAAATTTACAAACATCAACCACCTTCCCAGCAACACCCTCCTAGCCACCACGAATGTTACTAGCTTATATACCAACATCCCACACCAGGACGGCATCCAAGCCTGCCTTACATATCTACAAGAACAAGATTACAACTCAGAGGACAGACCTAAAGATATTACTGACCTTATACACTTCATCCTCACACACAAATTCACTTTTAATAACAAACATTTCCTCCAGACCATGGGCACAGATATGGGCACCAAAATGGCCCTACAGTATGCCAACCTTTTTCCGAGTCACCTGGAAGACGAATTCAAGGACTGCACCATCAAACCCTTGCTATACTTACCAATGACATCTTCATAATTTGGACCGAAAACCTGCAATCACCGATTAATTTCGATCAGAAATTCAATAATCACCCCTCCATCTCTTGAATACTCCAGCACCAACATTTCCTTTTTAGACACTACAATCAATATCCAGAATGGTAAGAAGCAAACCACCATATACAAGAAGCCCACAGACCAACATACATATCCGCACAGAACCAGCAATCACCCTAAACACACCAAGAAAGTTGTACTATACATCCAAGCTCTCCAGTACCACCAAATTTGCACTGAGGAGAACACCCATGATTGTCCCTTACACATCTCAAAAGGGCTTTCACTCAACCAGGACACTCCTCCAGAGAGACACTGAAGTTATGAAAGAGCCACCTTGATTCCACATGAAAAATTGCTGCAGGAAGAAAATCCCCATGAATCGCGCACCTCTAATTATGATATTCCATCCTTCCTTGGAGCCTATACAGAAAATCCTCAAACAACTGCAACCCATACTAAATGAAGACCCAATTCTTAAAAAGATCTTCCCAGAACCACCCATCCTAGCCTTTAAACAAGACAGCCTCATGAACCTCATTACCAGAAGAAAGCTTTCTATGGTCCAAAGCATACCAAATGTATCCAGACTGCCATGAAAAGAAATGCAAAACCTGCCAACATATCTCCCCCATCCCCACAATAACAACAACCCATAACAGAACCATCAATGCTCCTGAATCTTACACCTGCACCTCGAGTGCACCAAATGCCCAGATGGAAAACGCGTAAGAGAGACCAAACAACAACTGCATACCAGAATGAACACACACCGAAAATCTATCAAAGACAAGAATACCCAATTACTTTGGGGCCACATTTCTCACAGGACAACCACTCTCTCTCCAATCTCTCAGTTCTAATCCTCAAAGGGAATTTACAAGACACCATTCGCAGATGAGCCTACGAATGTCACTTCATCAGCCTACTGGACATAAAAAAGCATGGACTAAATATAGACATTGGATTTACGGCACATTACAACCTGCTTAATATCTGATACCCCAGGTAATCTCTGTACTATTTACCATCTTATATTTATCACTAGGTCTACATTCCCCTTTCCCCTCCTGCCTCCCCTGTTTCTCACCCACTGACAGCATCAATTTGCATTTTCACCAATTGGCATCCTTGCATACTGGCCTCTGGCTTGTATTCTATTCTATCCCATCCCGGAAGAGCACAGAACAACTGCAGACTTCCTCAGCCTGAAGAAGGGTGTTTGTATTTGAAAACTTGCAAATAAAAATTTTTCCAACTATTTTAGCTGGTCTAGTAAAAAATGTCAGATTCATCCAAAGAACCTTGTCTACCATAGTCTGATAGGCTCTTACCATTTGTTGAATATCGAAGGCAAGGACCTTGAAGACGGGTGATGATCTTTGTTGTAAACTAGTGCTGAATGATGTTCCCTCCTTTATTGTAAATGACCCCATGGCTGTGTGACTATTTCCACCTGCTTCATTTTGATTATTTTAAAAAGACAAAACAGCCAAATACAAAAGAAAACATTAAAAGTGTGGAACTATGTAGAAATGCAAGTGAGAGTATGTTGTTGATTCTCTTTCCATTTTTTTAATTTAAAGGTATTTTTGTATTACATTGATTTTGTTTAAATCATAAATATTTTTCAGTTGCCAAAAGGACAGTATAAACATAGCATAAATCTTGTTTACATATATGCTGTTTTTTCCCTTGCTTATTGCTCAAATGAATTTTAACTAAATAATTTAAGGAAAAAAAGAAAACCCTAACCAGTACTGTTAAAACCCAATGCCGTTATGCTGTAATAAAGTAAGTTATTATCTATACAAAGTGAAATTCTGCACCATACTGAGGGTACATACAGAAATCCAGGGAGGATAGATTGCGTTACAAATGGCCACCTGATATAATTCAGTTAACGTAGGTGTGGATGTTACACTTAAATCCCTAGTTAGGTGAATCTAAGTGTAAACTGTACAGAAGTTCAGGACAATTAGATCCATCTAAAAAAGGCCAACTGGATTTAAGTTAACTGAACCTCTGAAGTAGTCTAACTTAGATTGGGTCCAGTGAGACTGATCTAACTGAACTTCTGTACAATTGCCACTGGGGAATTTTCCCTGCCCCTCATCCCCCCAGCCACCCTGAGACAGACAACCCCCCTCCACAGACCAGTCACCCCACTGTATCCTGAGTCCACCAACCCCCAACATCTCACAAGCCAGCATTTGCCACCAGTGGGAGCCAAACAAGTCAGTTGGGGTGGGAGGAGGGGTGGGCAGGATGGCAGGGGCTGGTTCACCGGGTGGGGGGATAAAAATAGCCTCTGTTCTGGGGCTGGAGGAGAAACCCCTCTATCCCAAGCCTTCCACAGACCCTGCAAGCCCCCCTGATACTGCCAAACCCTTTCAGACCCCACCAACTTCCCATGAATCCCACTTCTCCCCCAATCCACCTGATCACCCTGCTGACACTGCCTGCCACTGTGGACCTCACTAACCTCCCCATTCCCCACCAGGGACCCCACCTGTCCCCCGGATCCCTTCCCCTGGACCCTACTTGCTGCCCTGATCCCCCAAAAGCCCCCTCCCACTAGCCTCGCTATCGCAATTTGCCTTAGATTGGGTGGCCATTTTTAACTTGATATAACCTCTCCCTAACCCCCCTGAATGGCTGTACATACCCTGAGGGCCAGTTCAAGAAACAGGCACCTTTGAAATCTCAAGCAAGTCTTAAAATCACATTTACTTGAGACTAAAGGGGGATATAGTGGCCACATCTACATGAGATTGCACAGTCACTTAATACTTGTATAAACAAGTACTAAATGACCAAATCACCAAATGGTTCCTTCATGATGCTGACTGTGCAGTAGCTTATTACTACTGCACAGTAGTGTCACATCATGCTTCCTGCCATGTGACGCTACTGCAGAGTAGTAACAAGCTACTGCGCAGTCAGAATCTTGTGTAGATGTGGGCAGTCACTTTGTTATAATATCATGCTGCTATTCTTCTCCAAAAGAATAAATTTTACCTCTTTGTATTTTGACTGTGGATAGAGAAATGGGATTTAAACATCCTTTTACATAAAATACAATAATTTCTCCTTTGAATATTAATATTCCACTACATGATATTTACTGCAAGATTGGCCTTTGTGTTGTCAGCCTTTTGTTATCCGTTTTGGTCAATGAAGGCACTGGTAATTTTAAATTCACACTAATTTTTTTTTAATTTTTTTTTTTTTTTTAGCTGAACCCTGTGCATGGTCCACCTTTTGTTATTCCCTGTTGAAATGCACCTTTGCATGTTGGAAATGACATTAATATCCAACACAGTACTTTCGTCACAGCTGAAAAGCTTGATCCTGCTTGTATTTAAGAAAAAAGGTATATTGCCATTGATGTAAATGGAAGTAATAGTCTGAGGGCCAGCTCAGCTTGAGTATGTCAATATAGCACCGGTGGCTTCGCTGGCGCCATTCTCATTAATACCAACTGAAGATTTTCCTGCAGTAAAAACATTCCATAAAAAAAAAAATTATTTCTTTTCTAATTCTTTCACCTATCCACTTTCCTCATCATATTTTCCCCTCTATTCTATTTAACAGCGAGAGTATACCATTTTATATTGTGCTGAAAATCCTGGTTTGAAGTTCTGGGCCATTCTTCTATACTGCAATTAGAACCAATCAAAAAATGAAATATGTCCAGTGGAAAAAAATTAGGTTTGTTTCAGCTCTAAATTAAGATAAAAAGCTGAAATTATGACTTTTCTTGGAACAGAAAATCCACAGAATTTAGATTATTAAATATAAATTTGTTTCACTTTGTTGATAAGCAATTGCTTTGATAAAGTTTAATTTTTTTTAATGATGTCAAAGTATAAATGTCACACAAAACGTAATGTAATAACAAATATAACATGCTTACTATAAACACTAAATGAAAAAACTTTGTTTTTTCACTTTCCCAGTAAAAATCTAAATTTAAAAAAAGGCAACGTGATTCAATGTGGTACAATCCAAAACTATTCCACTGAAAATTTTTTTTTACAAGAACTATGTTTTTTGTTTGTTTTTTTTAAATCTAGCTTGATTACCAAAGGCTTTAATATATATGAATACCTACTACTAAGAGCATACTATATAAAGAGTATAACCTGAGGGTAACCACAATAGAACAAATATCAAAATATTATTTAGGCAACTAGATTGAATACGAAATTGCTCAGTACTGTACAGGATTCAGGCAAAAAAAGTACAATTAAAAAAAATTGAGTCTACTTTGATTGGAAAATAAGCAAACCCCCAAAATGCAGCAAAGCTTTTAAATGTTCATTGTAACATACATGTCCAAATATCATAGAGTTTATAATTTAAATTAAATGGATCTTCTAAGTCTCCTGAAGTCAATTAGAGTATGTTGGTTGACTTCATCAAGCTTTCTATCATGTTTCAAGTCCTTCTTACATTTTTCTCTCTCTCAAACCTACTAATTTTCAGAGGAGAAGAGTAATTAATCTTTTTCTGTTTTGTTTGGGTTTTTTATATCGTAACAATTTTAAAGGCAGAGCACGAAATGTGGAAAATAATTACAGTGGCTGCAACAGTCTGAGACCGTTGGCTTTGAAACCCTGTAAAGGTTAAATCTTGATTACTTACCTTGTTGAAACTCCATGATTAGTAACCACGAAAGTGTAATTAATCCAGCACAAACACACACAAAAACTGCAAGCAGAACAGCAAACAAGATTTCATAGTTGCTGAGAGGAATGCTTTTCTTAGCTAATGATTTTCTCAGATTCATTTTTTTTGTGGAAGTTTATATCAATTAAGACTGGCCACAAAGATGCATGCTCATGAGAAGGACAATAATCCACATGAACAGATATTTATAGGATAGGTTTGCAAATTAACTACATTATTTATCTTTATTTATGCTTAGTCACTATGCTCTATTTTATATCACTCCTAAACCATCACAAAGATTAAAAGACAACTTCCTCTTAAAAGAGATAACATTTAAGTTTCGGTATATATTGTTATATTTTAATCTTTTCTCTGGTTAATTGTTGTTAGGGTAAATGTATATAAGTACACAAAACTGGAAAGCATCTCCTAGATCATTGAGAGGTACACACTAATCATTAATAATCAAAGCCGTTTACAAGAAGAAGTTTCAGTAGAAACCCAACCAAGACTTATATATTTAGTTTCTCATATTCTCCAGAGCAGGTCACATAAACTGTTTGCTTTGGAAGTTTATAGAAACTTCTGTTATATTTATCATATGAATTTAATTACTCAAACTCAAGGAAGGCTCATGGAGTGGGAGAAAAATATCTACTTTGGGTGGAGTTTTGCAACTCTTTTAATCTAAATTGTATTACCTCTACACAGTCCAATATTCCAAAGATCAGTTAAAGACATTTTTTCCTTTTGGGAACCAATGTCCAAGCACTGAAACAATACAAGCTCCTGGTTTAATGCTTTCCTTTTGGAGGGCTTATCAGGGTCTCATTCTGAACC